ACACGGAAATTAGATTTGCTTCGTGAAAGTCAAGTAACATTTTATTTTATGAATCATTTCCATAAAGGTTCACTCTCTAAATACATGTTTTATTAGTGTTTAATTGGGCGTGGAACAATACGGAAACGTCACACGTTTGGATTCGGAGAATCGATCCTGCCTTTGCACCAACTGAATAAAATAATTGCGACAGCGCGCTGAAGGGCGGACGTACTTAATGGAATTTCGTCGCGTCAACAAAAAGGGCGAAGAGCAGCAACAGCAGCAGCTAGAACTCTCCAATTGCGCCCCGACGCTTTCAAATTAAAAATAAAACATTGTCTTAATATCCAGATTAAGGCGGCTAATGGAATTATAAGTCTCCGTCGTTCCCTTTACACGGCCTTATCGTCCAGGACACATCTTACACCTCGAGGATTAGAGCATTATCTCTCTTCTTTCAGACACTCTTATTCACCTGCATCTCATTTGAATACGTCCACGAAAGATTCAACTAATCATATTTTATGCAACATTAAAGACACACCGGGAAACTTAATTAATTACGGACTATACGGGGTGCGCTCGCACTCTGTAGCTCGACCTTAATTTCATTAGATTAGCATACATTTAAAAAAGAGATCTGCACAAACAAAACGCGTCAAATTGAAATACTGGAATGGATTTTAATTCTGCACAAATTTACTACAATTCCCAAAGCGTAATAACAATGCTGAAAAACGTAATTATCTTATTGATAACAAAATGTAATGATTATTTGCCTTACCTTATATATTTGTATTATTGACAAACATTCGATACATTAATTATGTTATATAAATAATGGGAAGATTGGTTGTATATGAATTATCTTCTATAATAAATGTAAGTGGAAACAAGGTAAACATGGAAATAATAGGAATCTCGGTGACCTGTCTGCACATATTGGGCGGTGGACTTGTACAACAGTGGTTCCGTAATGGGAATTTGAAATTTCAATGTTGTTTGCGGATCGTAAATAAAAATATATGTTTGAGTTTCTGTATCGCAATATTAAATAAATAGAATGTGTTTTTGTTTGGGGGGAGAGATTGGATTGGGCGACAGAAGTGAGCCATCATTTCTGCAAACAGGATGAAGAGAGGAGTGAAGAGAGGAAGGCATTTTCCACCTGGGCGAAGTTCACAAACAAACATCTATCAAAATTGTATTTATCCGATAACTTCGCTCAAACCAACCTCATCCCGCCCTTCGAAACCCATTCACATCAATCTTCCTCCATCCGCAGTTACATTTATAAATGCATTACTTATTTGTTTTATCACTTTAATCGAGGCGCAAACTATAACAGTAATTGTCCATTCCACGATATTTCCATCCATTGGTCCTACCTACGTTTTTCTTCTTTTCGATCTCCCCCTCACTCACTCCCAAAGCACACTGTGTAAATATCCATTAAGGTCGTATTCATTTGTTTAGAGTCGCAGTAACAACGCTGATCCCTTATCCAAAGTTGGCTGTGTATAAAGTAATTTGAAAGTAATTAGCATGAGTATAACGAAGCGATGTATAATTATACGTCTGGGCCGTTGGCTGAGCGCCGCCGCCGCCTCCCTTGAAACCTCCTCCATCTCCAACGCCGCCTCCTTCACCCTTTTAATACCGCAAGGACAGCTGTTAGTGAGCAGAAGAGCTAAGAACGAAAATATTTGTTTGCGGAAAATTTAGCGAAAACAACGGGCCTACAGGAAACGCAGACAGACAAACAAAACGAAAAGGCGAGAAAAAATGCGAAAACCCACTGCGTTTTAATTGCTTTCCATTCAATTCAGTAATTAGAAAATTATCGCCACGCATCTTTCGAAAATAACGCGATGAAAGTGATAATTATAATTCATCGTCCGATGTTTTTTGAATAACACCATTTGATACACGCATTTACTATTAAACATTTAGTGAGTCCTATTTCGCATTTTAATTAAAAAGAGCGTAAACAATCACAAAAGTTTCATTACAAAAATAAACGAAATTTCAAACCATATTCCACTTCATATTTGAACACGAAGTACAGGCAAATAGATTAACCAACAAGAATAATTGAATATATTCCTTAAATATCCAACTTTTATATGCATCTTTTGGATCAAATCTATCTATTATAGTTTCCGAGAAAATCAATAAAATATGTTCTTTAAAATAGGTTCTATATATATTATAAAGTATTAATATAATACTTCCAATTTCAAAGTAATTTAAATTTTAATGTAATTATGAAAATTAATTAAATTTTAGAATTTAATTAAACTTTACTTAAACACTAAACCACATTTATTATGTGTATACATTTCATTCAATAAAGTTCATGTATAAATATTTTATAATGCAGCTGAGTGCATCAAACGACAACGCAATTATATAAAATTATTTTCAGTCGTTTTACATTTAACGTTACAATTTTCCAAAGGATTATTATAAAGAATACAAAATACTCTTTTATATTACAATCAGTTATTTCTCAGTTCTCAGTTGTAGTTTCTTCTTTAGTCTGAAAATACATTTCTTTCTTGGTATCTTTTTTGTCAAAAGAAAGCTAAATTTGGTCGAGGACTTATTGCAATATCAAGTGAAGGTGGTAAAATGTTTTAGATTTTCATTGATATCAAAATTTAGAAGCTTGAGGTTTGAGGTTTGAGCGAATTTTAGAAGAAATTTATTTAAGTCGATGAATTTAAGATTATGGAGATTCTGTTAGGAGGTCATTCATTCGGGGATTAGGATTGAGGTGTGCGTCTTTGTGTTTGCTGTGGTCAAAGTGGGAATTGACTATTCATCCGAAGGGCGAATGTATTAGGGATTTGCGGGATGAAGAAGGTGGTCGTTCCTGTATGGAGATGATGCATAGATATGTAGGATAGTAGGACAGGGCCGTACGAAGGAGATGCCTTTGAATATGGATTTCCGAGGTGCCTTTTAAGTTCCACCTATCTAAATTTCATCTGAATACTACTAAAATATGCAAACGTTGAGTGGCATTTCGACTGACTGCTGCTGCTGCCTCTTGGCTCGCCTTCAGTCTCTCCACTCTCCGTCTTCACCTAATCCCCGAAACATTGATCCGCTCTAACCCGCTGATAAGACGCCTGCATATATTTACACACCGAAATCCATTACGTAATCAGAAGAAAAACAGATCTTATATTTGCATATCGTAATTTTAGTTTTCCACTATTTTCAACTCTACTAAGAATTAGAAGACTATATTACAAGGACAATTAATTCAACAATTTGAAGAGAAGATTAAATTGTGGGAATAATTGATTATGCACAACTGACATGCGATAAATCAAACATTAGAAACTTGGCATTAAATCTAAAGTTTAAATAATTGCGTTATAATGTATATCCAAAATGTAGTGTGAGCACTGGGGAGAAGTGAGAGAGGACTGTTAATGATTTCCTATAAACTTGGACGTTAGCACAATGGAAAGTTCTGCCCACTCCTTCCCTCGAAACTTTGGCAACAATATAAATTGTTACGTGCTGAGTTAACATTTATCGACTTTGGTGCCGGTTATTGTAATTATCATGATTATTATTATGATCATAATCGTCATCGCTGCGATTATGTGTATATATAGTTTAATTAATAATAATTGTATGCGGCGAAGATAAAGGCGTTTTCAATTAAACTTGAAACAGTGAAAAAGTACAAAAAAAATAAAATGTTTCGGTACAAAACTGGAAAGAAAACGGTCGCAAAGCTGCCATGTTTGTATCTCGGAAACTAATTTATCGGGGTTCCCAATCAGCTCGAGAGACCAAAGAAAATGCTCTCACAAAGAGTGGGTCTCCCTCCTTGTTCTCAGAGAAATTCACTCGTCTTAAACGATTAATTAATACTGAGCTCCCTTTTTTCCTTCTCTGTCTGTTCGGGTAATGATTATTCTGTATAGATCGCATTGTCATTACCGGATCCGTCTTTGGCCCAAAAAAAAATCTGATTCCAATTATCAGCAGAAACGCAAATATTTATAAACTGCTCATTGTTATAACATAAATTTAAAAAAATATATAACTACTATGCATATACATTAAAGTTTTAAATTATAATATGAAACCTCTATGATCTTTGCAGTAGGAAAAAACCCATGTAAATATGTTCAATTTACTAAAAACCCATGTAAATATTTTAAATTTATTAAAAACCCATATTCAATTTATTAAAAACTCAAGATATCAGTTGGCTCGTTGGAAATGTGAGACATTCAGCTTTCATATGAGTGGTCGATGATGTAATTATCTTAAGGGGTTGTCGAGAAATTCACGAAAAACTGAAACAAAATCGGAAAAAACCTTTAGTAAATATGTTCAATTTACTAAAAACCCATGTAAATATTTTCAATTTATTAAATCCTAGTCACTTTTTTTCAAATTCTAACGACTAGGAAACAGCACGAAGATGTCAGTAGGCTCGTTGGAAAGGTGAGACATGTGATGTAATTATCTTAAGGAATTGTCGAGAAATTCACGAAATACTGAATTTTTTTTACAAAAATCGTCTATTTCCTGTTACGTAACTTTTGTTTCATAAAATGAGAATTTTAAAAACCACAACTGAACCGTATTTGTTATAAAAGTTGCTTAATTTATAATATTAATAAAATGAGTATCTAAAAACTTATTGCTACAAATTCTCATGTTTACGCTGATAGTTTCTGCTCACACTCAACCCTTTTCTTAAGTAATTAATTACAATTGAAAAATGTTTAACAAGCAAATTGTCAAGTACTAATATTGTTTTTCAATTAAAACTATTATCATAATCATTACAAAAAGAATAGTAGACTTATTACATGTTATTATAGGCAACTAAACTTACAATTAAATACAGGAAGTCTTATGAAGTTCTTTCCATCATTTTTTATTTAATTAAAAACTCCAAATATACGATTTTATAAAAAAAACTTTATTAATTACAACTAAATTGTATTGAATACTAAAAAAAATACATATACAGTGTGTATTTATTATGAATTATTTATAAATAATAGTATATTATTGATCAGTAATGAAACTAATCAATATTATATTCATGTGGAATATTTTAAAAAAGTTTAGCTTAATTCCTCTTTGAAATTATATCATTGATGGATAACTTTTAATTAATCCATTGATTCTTCGTCTTCCTCTTCAACATCGCTAACATCAGCCAGCATGTGTTTAGGAACTTCATTCCCTCTCATCTTAATATTATAGCACACCATTTCCATCTTCATCAAGCTCTGTTTCAATGTGTATAGTTTCCTTCCAATCTCATTTCGTCCAACGACTATAACTCCTTTAATCATAAATAAAAACATTTATTATGTAGTAAGTGATTGATAATAAAACAAACTTACCTAAGAAACCAGTTAAAATGAACTTAACAAAATTGCATATCTTAAAACAATCATCAATGAGGCCCACCGCTATATTATTGATGCATTTCCTCATCAATTCACCTGTGCAATCAGCCAATCCCAAAATGAAATCCATCTGCGGGAAAAGCAATTTCAACTCCTTCTCATCCTCAGTCTTAAATGTGAAGTAGTCATTGACCACACTCCAATTCTCAATAACTCCATTTTCCAAATATTGGTGGAACAAGATAGCCTCAGTGAATTCTTGCAGACCATTTGTGTAAGCTCTCAAATATTGATAATGGTCATGTCCATCAAGTTCAACAGCGATGGGTTTTAAATATTTCTCAATTAACTTGGCAATCATCTCCTTTGCATTGCTGTGATACTCAGTGTTGCTGCAAAACATTACATTATAAAACATGCTAACATTGTAAATTGTCTTTTTTTTTACGGCTTGTTCACTTGTAGAAAAGAAATTAGATTCTTGCTGTTGTATGTGAGATCCCTGCCTAGTTTCACAACCCTCTCATATCTCTGGTGCTTATCGTCAATGGTTTGTGAGAAGTTCTGGAACATCATTATCGTTGGATGCGTTTCACCCAATTTCAGGATCACCTCTTGGGATACATGTCCAATGGTATACTTCTTCTCTGATTTACGTTGAACTGTTTTAATTTAATCTTTCATATTTACGGTATATAGTAATAGTAAAAATACGAACCTTTTCGTCGAGGCATTGCGAGAATTTAATTGTTTATTACTTCTTAAACAACTGCTACCGCCTAAGTAAGATTAAATCTAAAAACCAATTGTTTATTTGATAATCCGTGGTTTGTTTTCACTTTTTGACAGTTGACAGTTTCGCCGCAGCTACAATTTCATCTCTTCTTTGAACTACTTTTTATTTCGAAACTGTTTTATAAATTTCGCTTTATGTAACCTTATTTTGTTGTCTTAATATGATTTTAATTTATTTATAATAATATTAAAAAGTGTTAAGATTTTAGTTCAAATTTGAATGCGGGACGTCAAGTGCCAACGTTTGACGTTTCGTAGTTGGTTTTAGTTAGGGAAGTGTCAAGTCGTCCCAGTTTATCAATAAACTCTGATATAATGGTAAATACGCCTCCAATTCGATATTTTTCAATTAAATTCGCTTTTTATTCCAATCAAAGCCCGTTCGGTATTTGAAAAATTGAAGAATTTCTTCCAGAACAGTGAATTCCAGCTAATTCTAATTGTGCCCCCCTTTTTAACTGTTACAGATTCGTTTCATACTGATCCAAAATCGCGCTGGCAAAACGCGACTGGCTAAATGGTACATGAATTTCGATGATGATGAGAAGCAGAAGCTGATTGAAGAGGTTCATGCGGTGGTCACTGTTCGAGATGCAAAGCACACCAATTTTGTGGAGGTAAAGCGAAGCACAATTGAAACTAAAGCCTTTATTTAATTTTTGCTTAATCAATTTACAGTTCCGTAATTTCAAAATCGTTTACCGTCGATATGCAGGATTATATTTCTGCATATGCGTCGACGTTAACGATAATAACTTGTGTTACCTAGAGGCGATACACAATTTCGTTGAGGTCCTTAACGAGTATTTCCATAACGTCTGCGAATTGGATCTGGTATTCAATTTCTATAAAGTCTACACAGTGGTGGACGAAATGTTCTTGGCCGGCGAGATCCGGGAAACCTCTCAGACCAAAGTCCTGAAACAATTGTTGATGCTAAATTCACTCGAGTAATTGGATCATCCACTATTACTAATATTAATCTTAATAAGTACAATTAACATTTCATATGGACATGGAGCGCAAAGTAAATAAGTGTGTGTATGTACATAATGTATCCTTCTAGAAACGGTTATTAACAGCATATGAAATGTTTCTTGTATTTCTAGAGACGTTCCAAGAAAAGAAAAAAAAGTAAACAAACCGCATATAAATTTAAACAAATAAGATTGTTTCGTGCAAACAGGATGAATGGCTTTGAATCTAAAGATACTCATAAGTAGGATGACCAAAAGTTACAAAAGATTTGTTAGGGTATTAAATAATAATTGTTACGTACATTCAGTTTGCCATTCGAATTTATTTCTCTCGTCTAGTTATTTTTATTATTCCTCTTTCAATATCGATCCACAATTTATATTTTCTCTTCTATTTTTTTGTACTATTATTATATATGTGTGTATGTATGTTGCGTTTTGAAAGTTTTAGGATAATTTTATTCCTGTAGATTTATTAATATTATATTTTGAAAATTTATTGTTTATAGAGAGCTTTGTTTGGAAACAAAAATTGTATTGAGATATGAAGATCATGAATGTTTGCTTCCAATGAATTAAATCGAAACACATTTATGTTATATGAATATTCCATTGTAACATTATCACATTGACAAATAAATAAGCATAATTATTATTTTCTCTTATCGACTTTATCATTAACATTAAACATCATAGGTCAGAAAGTGAAGTGATTTATGAAACATGAATTTAGAGATATGTGTGTTGCCTATCTTTATTAGATAAATTAAATATTATTTTTTTTAAATTTATTATTATTAAAGCAATCTATTAACTGACATAGATATCAAGCCTTATGAATGTGGTAAAAAGTAAATTAAAAAAAAGGACACTATAATACTTAATGAAGTGATGATCCAGCAACCTCACTTCCATATACAATAATTATTTATGCACTTGCAAACATTGATTTATTGATTATTGCAATCTGTTGGGCAATTCTTGCGGTTGCAGTATGCATCAGCTCCGTAGCCAGTTGGTTTGGGTTATTTTCTAGCCGATTATGGTATCTTGTGCTAGCCTTTGCTATTTCTTCCTTGACGATTCTAATGTTAGCTTGCTTATGGATGTCATCGTTTGTGAAGAACCATGGAGCATTGGTAATTTTCCTCAACATTTTGAACTGGAATCTCTGTATTGTATCAATACTGGTGTTGCAGGCAGATCCCCAAAGTTGAATGCCGTAGGTCCATATCGGTTTTAGAATAGTTTTATACAGGAGCACTTTTTTCTGTTGATATGCAACAGTGTCTTCCTATTAGCCAGTCCAGCTTTCTAGCCCTCAGATTCAGACATTTTCTCTTCGTTGCTATATGCGTTTTACAAGTAAGGCGTCGATCTAGGTGCATGTCAAGGTACTTGGCCTCGTTGGCTATAATTCTCCACTTTTTAGTCAGTTTTCGATGTTAATAAGGCTGTCAGTTGTTGGGTCAGTGTGCGATGTTAGGATTGCATTGTCATCAGCGAACGTGGCCACATTGACTTGTAGAGATCTAGGAGATATTGCAAGGGGCCCGAAATGTTTCCCAGAGGGACTCCAGAGCTGATCGGTCGTAGAGTAGTCATTTCGTCATTGTGTTTGACCTGAAAGTGCCTACCCGTTAAGTATGATTTAAAGATGGAATAGTATACGTGGGGAAGGCACTTCTTAATTTTGTATAGCAGCCCCTCATGCCACACCGTATCGAAAGTCTGAGATATGTCCAGGAAAGCAGCGGAGCAGTCTCCTCTCCTCAAGACTTCTGCTAATCTCGTCCACTACACGATGTACCTGCTCCACAGTACCGTGACGTTCACGGAAACCGAACTGGTGATCAGGTATGACATGATTTTCCAGTAGCCAGTGTCGTAATCCGCGTAGTAGCAGCTTCTCAAAAAGTTTTGACAAGACCGGAAGAAGGCTGATCGGTCTGTAGGAAGTGACAGCATCAGTTGGTTTTCCAGGTTTTTCAATGAGGATAATCTGTGCAACCTTCCACTGTACCGGAAAAATGTCAAGTCTTAGGATGGCGTTAAAAATAAGTATAACATTCCTCAGGCCAGCAGTTGACTGCTGCCTCAGAACCTCTGATGTAATTAAATCCTAACCTGGCGATTTATTATATTTTAATCCATACCGTATCATCAATTCAATCTCCCTGACTTTAAATGGATTTATTGGAAGCGACATTTGGAACGCAGACTCCAATTATGAGAACATCACATAATGTGAAGACAGTACTTCAATTTTGGTATTTCAATTTTGGAAATTTTTTTCTCCGACATGGAACGCATTAACGTAATTTACATAAGTGTATATGGGAAAACGTGTTTCACTATACGAGTAAAAATCCGGAAATTTTGAAACGGATTAAACTCGTTAAGCGAGGTTCCACTGTACTCACTACATTTCCCAAATATTCAAGATTCATATGCATCTTTTGGATCATTTCTATCTACTATCGTTTCGAGAAAAACACTAATATGCGAAGACACTGTTATTTCGTTACTTCATTTTTGGTTGCAAATTACTGCCAAATGGATGAAACCACACCAATAATTGAATACTCACTATAAACTTCAAATATTAACACTGAATCTTGAAATTCGAATAGCGACAATTCTGATTATTTCAGTCAGTTTTCAACGAGAATACAATAAAAGTATTGTTAATATGTGGACATATGATTAAGATTAGGCATGTAGCATTGGAATGTTTGGCAATTTCATGCCGATTTTTGGTATTTACGATGAGAAGAATAGAAGGCGAGTGTAAGTAAGATTGAGAAAATAAGTGAGAGAGACGGTGAGACGAGTAAACGAGCGAACAAAATTCGGTGTGTCTTTGTAAGAGAGAGAATGAGTGGGTTCTGGTGTGTGTGGCCGTATAATGTGCAGATCTCTTTCAGTTCTCCGTTCCACATCTGGTTAATTATCGAGTCGGTGTAGTCTTTAGTAAAATGAGAACGGCGGCAATAAAATGCGACCTCTGAAACAGAACTCATGTCACGTTCACCGCTCGGTGTTCATTGCTCAAGAAATTGATTCCTAAAAAAAAATATGCAATTTTTATATATATAATGGCAACTTTCCTGTCGAATCCATTCATTTTTTTTGATAGTTCAATATTAATACCCTAACAATATTTGAGAATACGTTGAAAACTTAAATTTAATTTACTTTTATTAATTAAATATATTTTTTGATTATACAGAAACTAAGAAGGCGTTAATCGATTTTTATTGCGAGTTCATTTTTTCTAAATCTTGTTGTCTCTAAGTCAGTCTTCGCGCTTTGCAGTTTGTTGTTCTTTCATTGACATTCGATACCCGTTTCGGTGCAAACAAGCCGCATGTGTCACCAGAATTTTGATGGATGTTCCTGTTCCTCCGTACACGAAACCCCAGGACCTTTTTCTCCTCCAGTTGCATTCCTTTTCTTCCCTAAAGATACTCGAATAAAAGACTCCGCCCATCAAAGAAAAAAAGAAAAGAAGAGAAGCAGATACATTTGCATAGCGGCCGCGTCGAACATCAAAAGGCATGATCTAATTAAATTTGTTCCTTCTGTAATTTATGGGGAAATATCTTCATTTGCATGTCTTCCTCTCGGCTTCTATACATTTTTTTTGTGTTCTTCTAGTTGTATGTCATAAATTTCGAGGAGAAAGAAACTGGTATGGATGTGTACAATTTGACATATGGTAGTTTGTCCAATTAACGAGCTTGTTTCGGGTTTTAGTGCCAACATTTCATGTCTTACCACTATTGTACTCAACACATTGTTTTTTCTTTTTATTTATGGTTCTTATTGATTCAGTTAATTAATATATGTTAGTTAATTAAATAAATAAACGAAACAGGACAATAATTTGTTCCGAATTAATAAATTTTATTTTAAGTTTTTTTTTTAGTACAACTATTGTTTTTACATAGTGCGGTTTTATTATAGAACGGTTTGAAAACAAACTAAATTTTATATTGATCAGAGTTATACTAAATTCTAAAAAAATAATATTAATACGGACCTGTTAGGGTCGGAGCTACCAAAAGGTTAGTATAAGTATAGTCAAAATGTAGTTTTTAAAAGTTGGTAACGGTTTGTCATGTAGTCTGATGACAGTTGAAGTGACAGGAGCAATTGAATAAAATGTTCCAATTTATACCAACATAAATAAATGTATGTCGCTATAATTAGTTAGTGTCATTATATACATTATATTTCGCACAATTTTTAGGAAATAAAACATTATCACTCAAGATTATTAAGGCTTACGAGAATTTTTGAGTATCACAAATTTAATAAGTTTAAATGAGCAAATATGTTGGTAAATAGGAAGTCGGTCCTGTGTTTAAGGCCATTAGAGGGTTGTTCTGATGCTTTCAAGACTTAAATGAACAAATATAAATACTATTAAAGATTCTGCTATCATCATTAACAAACTTTTGTCACTATATTTAGTTTATCTAGTTAGAGCAGAGTTTCCCAAACTTTTTTCGCCTTCATCGCCCTTAATATATCAGATTTTTTCCGCGACGCTCCAAGTCAAAACTTTATGTTAATACACAGTTTGGGAATCAATGCGTTAATGGAAACAACTTTTTTTCTTTTTTTTTTTTTTCTTCAATGTGGCTAGGTGGGGAATTGATCCCGTTGCCTTTTATCTATAGGAATGCATGACAGTGAATTCTGAATGAGTAAAAAACTCCGCCTTTCGGCTCATGATTTTAGTGCAATGGCCTGTAGGTCCATGTGGTGATGCATGACGAGTGTTCGGTCTTGTGGGAAAGTCAGTGCTGTCATGTAGCAGCCATTCTCGGCCTTTTATGGGTGTGATAATCACCCGGGTCGTAGTCGACGGCCGCTCGCAGGAGAGGATTTGAATGGATCTCAGCTCTGGCAAAAGCCTTCTCAGCTGACTTCTTCATATATTCCGAGAGGAAAGGAATATTAGCCTCCCGGTGCAGCTGCACCTTCCTGATGAACCAGGGCGCATTGTAGATGGTTCTCAATGTTTTATTCTGAATCACTTGCAGCTTGTACAAGTGAGTGCGTGCAGTATGACCCCATGCAGGAGACGCATAAGTCATGCCGGATCTTATGATTGATTTGTAAATGGCCAACTTGCTTGGAATGTTGAGACGGCTCCTCCTGTTCATCAAGGGATAAAGCAGCTTGATGGTTGCACAGGCTTTGTTCCTGGTCGATTCGATGTGCTGCTTGAAACGCAAACCTTTATCCAAAGTAACCCCCAGGTACTTAGCTGAAGGCTTTCAATGGATATCTTCCCCAAAGACTGTTAGCGCACCAGATGGAGTGGCGCGCTTTCGAGTGAACAGAACCGCAACGCTCTTGGTCGGATTGACGTCAATACGCCAGAGCCGGAACCAATCCTCAATTTGATCAAGGGCCTCTTGGAGCAACCTCGTGACATGATCGGTCGAAGTGTGCCTCACCAGGATGGCAGTATCATCGGCGTAGTAGGCTACGGAGGTGGAGGATCCGGCCTGAATCTTGGGCATGTCAGCCATAAAGATGGCAAATAGAAATGGCGACAGGATAGACCCTTGGGGCACACCTGATCTAATGGGTCGAACCGAGGAACGTACGTCACCCAGCTTGACGCTGAACGTTCGATGGTCAAGGTAGGATTCAATTAGTTGAATTAGACCATCAGGGAAACTGCTGGTGATCATTTTGTGCAAGAGACCCTTGTGCCAGACCTTGTCGAAGGCCTTGGCAACATCAAGGAAGACCCCGCCTGTGTGCATCTTCCAGTTGAAGTCCTGCGTGATGCGCTCCACAACACGCAGCAACTGGTCAGAAGAAGAGTGACCGTCCCTAAAGCCAAACTGCTCATCACGTATGGGAAACAACTTGTGTGTCTGATTCCAGTAAATTGAATACAAAGAGAGAGAGAGAAAAACATTAATTTTACAAACCTAATTTTCAAATCGGTCTGTAGTGAATGCGGACTAATCTAAGCCGGACTATTCGAGGTTTTAATGTACTTTAAAATAAAAATACAAGCATAAATAAAGATGAAACTTGAATAGGGTAAAAAATTGTGTAAATTACATTTTGTTTAATTCCGTATGCAATGAATCTGTCGTCGTGTCGTGAATTTTATGATTATGGTTGGTTGGTATGTGTGTGTGTGTGTGTGTGCTGTTGCTGGTGACAACGAATGTTTGTGGGTTCGGTCAGTGAGTGTGACGGTTTTTGTTTGATGTGGAAGCGAAAGACACGTGCTTCAATCCAGGCGACGCGACTCGACCAACCGTGAAGAGTGAGAGTGTAGTCCCCTCGCGCTTCCACCGACAACACACATCCATCCATCCATCCCAGAAGCATCAGAAATATCCCAGACTACCACCTTCCTCCACCCCGCAGAAAACGGCTTCCGCCGCCCCCATCGCTATTATTTCCTCTTTTTCTCTTCTCTTTCTACCATTATGCTCACCTTCAATTGTTCTGAGTAATTAACGCAATTGTTTTGCACATAGCCATCGCATGAAATCGTCAGTGATGATTTCTTCTGAAGGCTCCAGCTCTCAACCGTCCATCCATTAAAGACGCGCCGCGCCAAAACGGCCCACGCCCATTTCCTCCGCACGGCCCACCGGATTCATCGCCGCAGTTAACCGCAGGACGACGCGCTTTTTTAATTGCCGCCCGATGATTTCCCCGAAAATAAAACGAATTTTTCGATTTCTATTTTCGGGACATTGCGGAGCGCCCAAAATCTAATAATATACATTTTTTTTGTGATTGTCCAACACTTATTAACTCACCTCTCGTCTTTTCACAACTCCCCTCATACAAATTAAGTCTCTTTGAACTATGATTCATTACATTCCCACCAATAATCTTACACTTTTTTTTATGTATTCTCTAATTAGTATAAAATAAGTTTAATTTATAGAAACAAATATATTACTACGATATCAAGAGATGATTAGTTATGAGATTTTAGATTGATTTTTGGTCTAAAACGATTCCACGGGCTCATCAAAATTTGACATTTTTTCAATTATCAAAAATTTCTAAAAGAAAATCAATAAATTCTTCAGCCTTCGTAAATGACACAAAGTTCGTTTTGAACTCATTTTAAAGATGAATATCGAAGCTTTCGAACGCGACCTCTTTGAATTTTCTGGTCCTTCGGGAGGATTCGGAATACAGCTAAATGAATTATAAGAAAAATGACTCGTTTAACGAGACTAAATACATACAATAATATGTATGTATTTAGTCTCGTTTAGTCCGGTTTAAAATAATTTATACAATTAATTAACACAATTTCAATGAAGATGTTAGTAATTATGTTTAAGACCGAAAGAGAGAAGAAAATAAAAAGTTTAATTGGACGTCTTGTGGGCGTATCTGTCGTATAAGTTATGTCTTTGGTTTCATGTGGTTCACCAAATAATATATACATATAAAAAAAAGCTTAAACTCGTATAGTTCAGAACTTCCCCATTCAGAGTACATCAGAAACATCCTTCTATATGCATTTTACATCTCTTTCATGTGCCGAAAACCTTCTGGTTATCTTCTACGCCTTCTTCCTTGTCCTTTCGTTCTCTCCGATTTCTTCTCTCGCATTATTACTCTATTAATTTATTTATAAACTGAACCGTCTCTAAATTTATATGTTGCTTTGATGTCTCTCCGTCTCAGAAGATGGCAATTTCATCAAGTGGCCTCCTCTACACGACAACACAACGGACAGGGCAAAAACGAACGCACAACACACATGCTTACACAAATTGAATGCATGTATAAAGATTTTACAACTTCTTAAAAGTGCCATTCATTTCAGCTATACACTCTTACTTACACTACTTACGCAATTCATCTTAAAAGGAAAAATATATTTAGTGCTAGAGTCTGAAACAAAATCAATAAATTCCTCGAACTCAGTAAATGACACAATGTTCGTTTTAGACTCATTTTCAAGATGTTCAAAGCTTTCCAACGCGCTCTTTTTGACTTTTCTGGTCTTTCTGGAGGATTCGGAATTTGTCTTTTTTTTTCAATGTCAGGAATGTCAGAAAATCAGAAAAATAAAATACAAAAGTTTGAAATAAATAAGAATGTAACCCATATATATTTTAATAATACTAAAAGTTGTATACAATAACTACAATGTTACTAATAAACATATATTACCTATATCGTTTGTAACAAAATAATGATAATAATAAAAAAAAATAATAAGACAAAAACTCAAATAAATGATAGCTGAGTGATTCATAGAAATAAATACAAAGTTAATTAATTAAAAAGGAATATAACAAGAAGATTTATTGATTGCAATTGATACATTTTCACTGTATAAATATTATACATTAATCAGCTTTTTCATAATGCGCAAGAAACGAAATGCTAATTGTACAATAATAAGACTGGGCTAGGTAATACATTTGAAAAAAGAAAACTTGATGTATCTAGAATGAATTCAGTTATATTGAATGTTTTGTTAGATTTCCCAATTAAAATTTAAAGCTTTTGAAGCAACTACTGTATAATCCACTAATCAGAAACAAAAGACACAACAAATAAACAAAACAGTATTTACAATGAGATTCGATAAATGTAAGGATAAAATTTGTATATATATTTTAATAAATAATCGGAAGGGAACAAAACTGTTTTATCTTATATACATTGCAACCTTCCTTAGGTGTAATAGACATATTTATAAACGTATGGAAAAATAAAATTTATTTATATATTATATAGTGTCGATTCGCTAGTACGGTTGTGACACATTCTTACTACAAACTTTTTCTTAAATTATATAGTTTGCTTTGGAGTCGGTTGGCGCAGAATTTTGAAAGTTTGTTTCTGTAACCATGGTGATTTGAATGCACTATTAAAACTTTATTTTTCTGTTACGTTTTGTATTATTTATTATATTTTTATGATTGTAGCGCCACTTCGGGATTTGCAAAGTTAGGAATTTTGGAATTGAAGTTTTTCACTGCACTTGTTATTTTTTTGTTGGAAATTTTATATGTGCGATCCTGGAGTGAGTGTGTGATGTGGCATGCCGCCATTGACCATGTGCATTGCGGTGTTGCCCGGTTGCAAGTACATGTAGTAGTTGTAGTTCTGGGCGGAGTGGTCGTTGGACATGGGTGGACTGGAACCTGGGGGCAGCGTCGTCCCGTTGTGGGGTCGGAAGGCGGCGGCGGCCGCGTGCACCGCCAGGATGTCGTTGACGGAATGCGAGCTGGGCCAGCAGTGGGCCGGAGGTGTCCTCTGCGTGGGTGGAGATTGCATCTTCTGCTGGGGGTACGGGTAGCTCGGATAGATGGAGTTGTAGAGGCTGTGCGAATGCGGCGGAGGATGCACCAGAGATCCGATCTTGTTCCTCAGGATCCGACTGATCGAGCTTACGGATGGCACGTTGTACTTGTCGCAGACTCCGTCGCTTAACAGTCTGTCCCGGATCTCCCAGGCGAAGATGCCCGGGTCCTTCTGCTTCAGTTCCTTGATGTACGAAACCACCTTCGGTGTTGTCACTCGCGGCTTCGATCCGCCGATTGCTCCTGGTAGGATCGATCCTGTTTCGTGATATCTAGCTAGTATCTTTGACACGCAACCATGGGAGACGCGTAGTTGTCTGGAGATGTCACAGGGTCTAATCCCAACCTGTGACAGTTCAACTATCCGAAGGCGCACGGCGTTCGGAAGAGGTCTTCCGTTTACGAACACACCACCCAGTTGATTCACTTCTCCGTACTGTTGCACTTGACCTTCTGCAAAAAAAAGATACAATATTTTAATTGACATTATGACTTTCTTATTAACTTAAAAGTAACTAATTTTAGTTGGTACAACAACGTATTGGTTTGAATGCAACATTATAAATTAACAGCAACTGTAACAATACCACCAAATTTCAAATAGTTTTAATTCTGTTATGTAATTTGCAAATTTTTATAGTATAAATCTAACATACAATGTCTAATAATACTGATAAATTTGTCTACAAATTAAGATTATGAAATAAGTGCGAATCTTTACTATTTTCAAATTTAATAAAATATGTTTTTGTATTCTAGAGAAACCAGTTTGAAACCAGTTTGAATTTTGCATTTAGTACTGTAGTGGTTATAAGAGGAAATGCAAAACGAAAGAAGTGTCTCTGATGTGATAAAAAAATATTTGATGTAACGACGAAGTGCAGTTTCGACTGACTTTCATTTTCGTATTATGTAAATTTCTTTGAAGATCCTTGGTTCACTCCGTTCTAAAATTACATTGGAATAATAATGCGCGCACGCAAAGGACGGCGGAATGTATTTTTGTACGATTTAAAATTATAATTGTAAAACAACAACAAACAAAAATAGAGGGGACACCGTCTTAATGCAACAATAATATCGGCCGTTTTGGTGAGTGGCGAAAGGAACCAAGGCCAATTTACGTTCGACAATTTCAGGCTTTGTGGCTTAGAAAATTTCTAACAACAAACTCTTTGAACTGACGTCGACGTGATTTATCTTCTCTGGGTGAGAGCGAGAGAAAATGCTCTCTCATTTAATTACACTACATGAATGATGAAAGAAGCTTCGGTTCTTCGCCGAACATATGAAAAAAAATTATTTAATGCTAATAGTGTTAAATAGATAAATAGAAATGTAAATTTGAAAAGTATCAATTGTTCTGAGCGTAAGTGTCAAAATGTTATGTTGTAGTGATGAATGAAAAGAAAGTGGTTTTTGCTCCCCCAAACACAAATTCACGATGTGTGATCTCTTTTAACTTGAATCATATCCCCAATACGTGTGTTTTATTTAGATCCGAAATGAAAGCAAATGTTGACACATCCTAAGAGTCCCCCAGTTGTAGGTTTCAATTAGATTTAGAGTGTTAGTCTGTTGGGTGGCTAAACGTGACACTAATTAGCGTTCGAACGAGAAGTGCAAGAGATGCCCAACAATAACAACAAAAAGAAGATGATGATGAACGAAAAAAAAATCACCGTTGTCAGACAGATCGAATTTCGTGTATTTTCGGTTCAAATTATACCGAATGAGAAGTAACAAAAAAAAAAGTAATAATATAAAACGGTAACGATGATGGTGATACGAATTTCTTTCGACTTCCCTCGACCGCCGCCGCTGGGATCTAGCCAATTGGCCCGGCTTCCCGATCCGCCGCATTGAATCCACGGCACGATAATCAAATGCACCTGACCCAACTCACAGACGCATTGACACCACCAAAAAGAAACCGCAAGCAAATTTACCGAAAACTCGCCTCATCTGTCATATTTACAGTTGGCAACGGTGGAGCTGTCACTCTCTGATTGTCATTTTACATGAAATACAATTATTTTCAACATTAGCTTATATTTAAGACATAATCTATAACATATTGTTTACTTCTAATGTCATATAAATTGTAAAAACTTAAAACACAACAAATTAGGTTTTAATAATTTTTTTCCAAAATTTAAGATTTTATTAATTTTAAATTCACTTTTAGAAAGATGCAAACAATAATTTCTATGATTGATATTACAAGCAGTTTGGATACTAGTGACCTCTGACACTAGCTGAAAGATACAAGTGTCAAGTTTCAAGGTCACTGCGTCCGAATCATAACATTGTAGAAATTGTTTTTTGCACTCACGCAATTCAATTTTATCGACATTTCTTATTCGTACGAACATTTATAATCTTTTTCTGCGTTTCGTCAATTGGACTTTTGTTGTCGTTTTCTCCGGCTGCCGCGATCGACGAATTTATCGCATGAACTCGATTTATAACAAATATTTACATGACCTTTTTCAACAAAAAACAAAAAAGCTAAATATATACTGCATAGTTGTTGTTCTCCTTTTTAACAAACTTACAGATACAAAATCAAACTAATTTCATTCATTTCTTTTTAAACTTGTTAAATTTACAATGTTTTAATAAAAAAATAAATAAGTTTGCTAGTTTTTTTTTTCAAATTTGCAATAATACTAATTTAAACAAATTTATAAGATTCTTAGAAGTAAGTATTGTTTTCTAGTCGTTGTCAATTTGTAATATGTTTTAAAAGCAATAAACATATTGAAGTAATAATGTGTTATTTTCTTGTGCCGCTTGTTTAATTTGAAGTTTTTTTTTGCTGTTGTTGTTGTTGTTTTTTTTTTATTGTGAAACATTGATTGTAAATAAGTGTACAAATCGTTAATTGAATGGATCTCTGCATAGTCTATTAATAATCATCCAGGCTTGAAGTTTCCAGTTGATTTTTGTATGTTGGCGTGACGCGGGGGAATCTAATCGTTGACCCCTGAAGATAACCTCCGCAAGCCCCGAGACCAATCGCCGATAATAAAGTAAAATTGACTTCAGCACATTCGGATCTCGAGGAATACACAATACTCACACGCATAATATAATTATATACATGTAATAACAGAATCGTTGAAGTTGCTGGAATGATGTTGTTCTCAGACAAATTTGCTGATTTCGGAGTTGTATTTCTGTTCGCAAAAGATAAACGGCTGACATAATGAAGGGAACTAATTAAAAGTCGTCCTACGAACATAAATCCACGCGAACAAATCCATTCCGGGGGGAAGTAAAAGAAGAAGAAAAAAACAAGAAAAAGATGTTTGTCGGAGTATAAAAATAAGAGAGTAAGAAGCACACGTGATGTATGTATCAGACATCTGTGTTGACAATCGTCTAGTCGCTAATAAACACCGGATAAACGACAGAAAAGAAGCGAAAGAGTTACGAGCGTCGTCGGAAAGGAAGATAACATATAGTTATGGCAGATTTTTTTTTCTCTAAATGTTGGATGGCCATGCTTTGATGTCCCGTACTCGTTTGTAGGTTTACTGCCGAGGAAATGCAGGCCCGATTCTACACTTTCCTCTCTGTAAATCATCTAAATGGTTGCAGCCCGCTTTTGCCGAGACGTTACACGCGAATATTTATCAATTAATGTCGGATTAATTTGCTCCAGTTCAAATTTACCGCGCCTCGACATTTGTCACCGACGCCGACAGAACTGACGTCTGACAGATACCGTCGATTATTCAGCCGCGTCGCCTTCTTAATTATAAAATCTCAAGTAATTGTAATTTGCGTTTTACGAACGCTTCTCAACGATTCACGCCGTTATTCAACGTGACATGAAGTGCATTCCTTCACTAAATAAAATCTCTTACTCTAATGGGATAAAGGAAATCTTCCTAAATGGAAAATGACATTTTTATGTATGGCTTTATTAGTACAATTACTGAATCATCTTACTTTACTTCCGAGAAATTATTTTATTTCTCTCCTGGGAATTTGTTATGGAATGAAATGTATTAACAAAAATTACGACCAAGTTCAGCTATTTAATAGAAATCGAAATTAAATTAGTAGAAATGTATCATGAAAATTCTTTATCTACTAGTGAATCTTGATCAAGGCACTCTTTAGTAAATTCAATAATTCCATAAACCTATGGAATTAAAACCCGACAAAATATTGTCAATTCAAAAGAAACTGAAACTATATGAAACAAGAGGATGATTGACTATAAAACCGAAATGTAGAAAATTCCTGAGATTTTACAAAATTTTATCTCATAAAGTGATATTAAATTATAAATAAACAAAAATGTGAAGGTTTCTTTTCTATTCTTATCATTTTTTGTAATGTTGGTAACATTAGATTAACTGTTGTGTACCAACTATTAATTATGAAATATTGTGAATTTACACTATTTCAGTTTTAGTGCAAATGGTAAAGTAATCCTGATCAATATCAGTTTGATCAATTCTTCAAACAAATAATTATAATGAAAATGCAATAATTAACAACAAAATTGATCGAATTTCTTAAATAATGTGTGTATCTGGAAAGATGCTAATTTTAAGTGCATATTCTAACTAAAGTACTAAGCGAACTAACCGATTTGTACACATTTCATTGTGATATGTTCTTCACGTTTTTCATCCATCAATCTGCTTTTTTTTACTAAGAGTTAAACAAATAACCGAAAGATTTGTACGAGACGCGAAGACGAAGAAGAAAAAACGGAGATAATGAATGATAAATATTACACGAAGCAAACAGTGTATTTTGAAAATTGAGTAGCCACACACATGGATAAACAGAAATGATGGTGAGATGGAAACAATATATATATATAAGATGGGACAAGACTGCAGGGGTGGATTCTTAAACATTTCGAGTGTTCGTAATTATAATATGTTAAAATCAACCCCCGATAGTTAAAAAGGGCGCAGAGGCCACGTGTTTGGCTTTTGGCACACGTGAGGCCACGAAATTCCGGACTTGCGGAATCCTGTGCAGTTATCACGGCCCTCCCCCATGTAACCCCGCAAATAATAGGGGTCTTCGAACATCATCTATCATTTCTTCTATTCTTAGTCTTTCTGACCGCAATTTTAACCATGCCGCATGCAAATTCCGTATAAGACAAATCCATTTTATATTTTAGAGAATTTTACTTTTTTTTTTTTGCGAACATTATTTTGTTAAGAAAAGTTTTAACACTTCAATCAACTAAAAATCACTTTTTTCAATCTCAATTCAGCAATTTCTGCTTCATTTAGTGCGGATTCACTTTGAAAATTTCAAAAGAGACTAAACAAATATTGTAAAAATAAAATATTATGTTTTATACAGAAATGATCAGTTCCTTTATCTCCTTTATAACTGCATAAGAAAAAATTATACATTTTCTGTTTTAGAGAATTTTACATTTTTTTTTCGAACATTAACAGAAAAGTCTTGAATCAACTAAAAATCTCTCAATATAGCAATTTCTTGCATGTTCTTGCTTCAATCTTACTATATAGTAATATTGACTAATTGAACAAAAAATTAAAAGAAATTCTAAAATATTAGTACACATTTTTTTTTATACAGAATTAATCAGTTTTTGCTCCTTTATAATGTCGAGTTTCTTTATCTACTGTTCATAAGTCCTCGATTAGTCCGGTTTAAAACTATTCAAGTAAATCTGAGTTGCAAACGTAAAATATTTATTAAAATAATGGTGTTTAGAATTTAAAATTTTGTAAGAAATTTACGAGAAATCTGTCTGCAATTATAACAATATGATTATTTGATATATGCGTGTGTCAATAATGTAAGATCTCCGGTGATTTATGGATGTTTGCAGTGAAAATCGTGAACTGTTTGCGCGAATCTAATAGAAACGACAAATAGTTGTAGAGGAGGTTGCTTTTACCATCTCAGTAATAATTGCAGGCAACACAAATGCGCGTACTGTTGTTGTCGTCGTGCATCGACAATGTTTTCGCTTTTGCACGTTGCACACTGTTTACGTTCGAATTTCACGTTCCTGCGATTACTCCATGGACATTCCTGCGGATTTTATCTCGAGTCGAACAACCACAATCAGGATTCGAATCCTTATCGTCTGCGAACACTTTGTTGTCCACTCTAATTTTCACACTTTCACTGCAAAAGTTCAAATTTCATTCAACACGAATCGCATTCGGTTATATTCTGTACACAAATTGATTGGAAATGATGTAATAAATCAAATAAGTAATAATACGTGAATGTGGTTTCACGAGTGGATGAGGATAAAATGTGTGTGTTTAGTTCTTTTTTTTTTTCATCTTTTCTTATTATTATTATTGTGTATGTTAAATAGGCATTATGCTGTTTGCCTTTTCGAAACGGGAGTCGAGTGGGATACGGGTTTGCCGATGAACGAGCCTTTAGACACCTAAAGTGTCCCAATCCATTTAGTGAACAAATTTACGTCGGGCAAATGTTTGTCTTTTTAACAGATTATTAGTTTAGGAACGACGACGACTACAACATTTTCATCGCCTTCCAACTTCTTTTCTTTTTTTTTAATATTATTTTCCCATCCTTCTTCCTTCTTATCGCAACCTCTTCACAAAACGCTCACGTGAAGTAACTTTATGTTGCAAAAATAAAGAAAAATTAACAAACTCATTTGTAAAACTGTAATTTTGTATTTCACACATTTCATTGTATGTTTTTTGGCTCTAAATCATAATGAAATATTAGAAAACATAGCTTTATATTTGGATTATAAATTTAATTTGTAATTTTAAAACAAACATAATTTTAATGCAATAATAATTTTTTTTAAATATTGTTAAAGCTTTATATAATAGCAATAAGAGGAAGAAATGAGATCAATTTGAACAAACTCGCTTATATAGAGAAGAAGTTTTTAATGAAATATGGGAAACTGAAGAAGATTTATTAAAATTAATGAAGATGAAGATTCAAGAATGAAAAATTAGTTTCTGTTTTCTAGGTAAATAATTCTTTTGCAATCTTAATTTTATGACAGAAAATTGTATTTATTTCTCCAGATTTCAATAATTTAATAGTATAGGACTACTTCGAACAGTGCGGGTAATCGATTTTGCATTGTTTGAAACCGGATTAATCGAGAACTTCAAAATTGCATACAATTATGTATTTTTTACTAATTGTGTACAAATACTTTATTTTGATTAAAATTTAGTTTGTTTTGTGAATCCGCACTGATCGAAACCGCACTTTGTTACTAAGTTAACGACATTGGAACATATTAAAAGTAAAAATTTCAACTAAAAACTATTAATTAAATAAAACTCATTTTGTAAAACAGATTTGAGTGAGTTTAGTTCGTTTAGGTGTGGCGCCAGTATTGGATTTTGAAAATTACCAGTCAATTTGTTCTATAAAAGCAAACACTCCAGACATTGCGGTCCAGATTTTTTCTTGTCCCTTTCCCTCCGTTGTTTGCTCAAAGTCTTACGGTCTCATCTGAACCCAATCCAAACAAATTGCCCACCCAAAAACGGAAACAAAGTTGCAATCGCAGACGAAGAGAGACACACGGCAGAGCACACTAGATGATGAGCACGATGATGTCTGTATTTGCTTAGGTGCTTCGAACAAAGAAAAAAAAAATTAGAAAACCGGTGCTGTTTTTCAGGAAGCTTTTAGGCGGTCGTGTATTTGAACTGCACACACACACACACACGCACCGGTCAGAACTGCTCGGAGATAAAAAGAAATTCCAGTAGCTGAAGATTTGTCGACTGTCGGCGTAATGCAAATATATTAGTACAAATCCACTTCGGATCAGTCTGTTAATCGTCGAACAGAATAGATCTGTGTGGAATTTGACGAGGTTTGAATGGTTGTGCACTTTGCGTGTTTCGTGTTTGTACATTTACATCAAATTTTATCTAACAAAACAGAAACACGAGTTTCTCTATAAATAGAAATACCGATAAAATTACCCGTTTCATAACGCAAAGAAAACATCAAGAGAAAAAATAAATAAATGTTGAATTTATAAATTATTATTTATACTTTTTTATACTTTAAGTACAACATATCTAGATTTAGAGCAGTATTCTTGTGATTTAAGTACAATTTTTCGCGAAAAATGTATTTTTTTTTCTTATTTATTATTATAAAATTATTTATTTCATTATTATCTTAAACTTGAAACGAAATATTTTTCACATTTCCGTTGGTCAGTTGAAGCAAAACGCTTGAATAACTCTTGTTTAGAGCAAATAAACAAAAAAAAAACAAACTTGACGTAATTTTTGTTGATTTTTTTCTTCAGGAAATAGTAAGTTTCAATATTTTATAATGAATATTGATATTCTACTAGAAAACGAGACACACTTACATAATCAATGTTCAAATTGAAATGAGCAAAATTACTTTTCTAACAACCCAATAAATACATACATTTTGCATAACCCAACTTGAATTAGTTGTGTTTCATTTTCTTTATTTTACTGGGCTAATAATAATAACAATTGCTTGTAAAAAAAAACAAAATCTATTTTTTTATTATTGTTTCAAAACTGAGCTCTTTGTGTTACTTCTATTATTGTTAACAAATGGAGTTTGTAATTGCTTTCTCGATAACTCACCTGTATCCATTGTTCCAACGTTTTTTATTTACTCAAGTTAACGTATGATAAGAAAAATCAAACAAACAGAGTTGATTTTCTGTGTAAATCCTTCTCACTATTCTCGTTATTGTACAAAGTCGAAATCCTTGTTAATCAATCGCACTCAATACAATACAACTTTTTTTCTATCTTTTTGTATCAAATCTGATTCAATCTTTTACTTTCACGTCACAGAGCACAAACCGTTTGATTCTTTTTGTTATGTTTCTAAGCAGCATCAGCAGCAGTAGGAGTCAGAATTCGGAAATTCTCGTCGCGACGCACGTCCATGCATGACAAATCTCGGAAACCATTTGACCAGAAACTTTTCACGCTGTTTAAAATATATCAGGCTTGAAAGTTATCTCGGCGACGGGCGGAGAAGAGCGTGTGCTCGCTTGCGGTGAGTGGAAGGGGGCGGCGCTCGGTCGCCCCTACAAAATGGCCAACGGTCGGATCGAACCAATCGGATCGACGCTCGGGGCGGAGACCGATCGGCATTGGCGCGTATCGAAATCGTTATTGTCCATTCGATATTCATTCCCACAACTTTTTCTTATTTCGATGTACTTCTTTTCTTTTGTTTTGTTTCGTTTTCGCGCTTCCACGCTCCAATGGCACCAATCCAAGGGTGACGCCCATTCGGGATTTTTGAGAAATATACAGTTTTAGTGCCCGAACGTGCGATTTTTAACAACAATTCTCGTGATAAATAATAATCGCACAGATGAAAAGAATTCAACGATATGCGTTTATTCGATACGAACAGATTACTGCAATAATGTTAGCAAACACTGGATATTTTCTATGAGTATAAATGTTGAAAAAATATATACTCTCAAATTATACAAAAATATTTTGAAATTTCATCAAAATTTAGGAGTAGGCCAAAAAAACAAAAAAAAAATGTTTCTATGGTAATTTTCGAACTTACTCCATTAAATAATTGAAATAGAATTTTCTTTTGTACTATTGTTTTAAAATCTTCGGCGGGCCGGATTGAACTTCTGGGCGGGCAACATCTGGCCCGTAGTTTGCACATCACAGATCGATTCTATTTATACAATTATTATATACGGTATTTTATAATCTAATAATATATTTCATAAAATAAATTTTTAAAATGTTTATTCAAAACGTGTTTAATTTATAATTAAATTGAACTAAATGATACAAAGAGAGATTTGTCAATTTAGCCTTTGGTCGTCTAATGTTACATTTATGTCACTATTTACATTATAAAGAGACGTTAAACAGACCGAAATACTAGTTGTTACTTTGATATTATCTTTATATTGTATAGATAAATCATTTGTTTTGCAATTGGAAACACCAACTGATACAGTTTTTTTTTTATATGTTGTAACAAAAAGAAAAATTGTATAGCAGAATACTACGAAATAAGTTTATAAAATAATATTGATACTAAATATACATATATGTGAAAATTGATCCGTTTTTGTATTCTAAATCACTATAATTCACATGTATAAATTAATTTTAATGTGTTTTAAAAGAAATCCGAAGAAAACTATTATTATTATTTTTATTTTAACTATGTACATGTAACATATGGTTAAATGAAGAAAATTCTTAAGAAGTTATCATAAACATTAATTTATATTCATGATTTGACGAGAGAGAATCAGATTCAAAACAATATAAATTATCGAAATTTGATCTAAAAATTAATACTAAGAATATCAAATAAACAATTGCTAGATTATTTGGGTCATGATGTAAATGTATTTGTAAATGTAAATTGGCTAAATCATAATTAAAAATTTCTTCAACTAATTGAAGTATGTTTCCATCGGTATATTTCCATCACAGTGGAAGTTAGCCCAAATCATATACATCGCCAAACCTGAAAAACCAACGGACGCGGCGTTATCATATAGACCAATCAGCCTTCTGTCGGTACTGTCTAAACTGTTCGAGAAGCTGTTGCTGCGAAGACTGAAGCCCTGGCTGTTGGATAGTCATCTCATTCCGGAACACCAGTTCGGATTTCGTGAGCGACATGGCACTGTGGAACAGGTGCATTGTGTGGTAGATGTGATTGGCAAAAGTCTTGAGGAGAAGAGGTACTGCTCTGCGGCTTTGCTCGACATCTCACAGGCGTTTGACCGAGTATGGCATGGAGGATTGCTATATAAAATTAAAAAGTGTCTCCCACATGAATAATACGTTATATTCAAATCGTACTTGACTGGGAGGCACTTCCAGGTCAAGCACAAGGACGAAGTGACCTCGCTACGCCCAATCCTTTCTGGTGTCCTGGAGAGAAGTGTTTCTGGACCCTTACTCTATTTGATCTTCACGGCTGCTCTACCAACTCCTCAGCACGCCACTATAGCCACATTTGCTGATGACACCATTGTTCTAGCATCCCACCAAAACTGAACTACGTCCTCACAGATACTCCAAAGAAGTCTGAATAGCATCGAACATTGGTTCAGAAAGTGGATAATTAGGGCTAATGAAACTAAGTAGGTGCATGTAACGTACACAATGCGTCGACAAACTTGTCCACCCGTAACACAGAATGGCATGCCCTACCACAGGCTGATGATGCTAAGTATCTTGGCATACATCTGGATCGTCGACTCACCTGGAAAAAGCATATTACGACAAAAAGAAAACAGCTAGGACTGACAGTAAAAAGATTGCATTGGCTCATGGGTAGATACTCATCCATCTCAGCGGAAAACAAAGTTTGAATATATAAAACGACAATAAAACCGATATGGACTTATGGATTACAAATATGGGGATCTGCTTGTAATACAAGCATTGACTTCATACAGCGGTTCCAGTCAAAAACGCTCAGAGCAATTGCCAATGCTCAATGGTTCTCGACTAACATTCATCAATACACTGGAGTCCGAGTTGTGAAGGATGAGATAACGGAACTCAGCAGCAAATACCAACATCGGCTGGAAGACCATCCAAACCAACTTGCCTCTGAGCTTACACACACTGAATCTCGTCGACGAAGATTGAAACGATTCAAACCACAGGACCTCCGAAATCTGCATAATATGATATTTTTATGTAAAAACTTTCAAATAACTTTGAATATTACCCTTCTGGAATGTATTATTATTATTGTACAGATCAAGCAGGGCCGTATATTAACAATTTAACAACAAAATTTGTATTAAAGAATTCTAATTCAATTTATTCTCATGAACTGCAATCAAGTGATCGTGATGACAAAATAATAGAAAAAATATCATAGAATTTTTGGTGAATACAATGTGTAAATGTGTGAAAGAGAATGTATGAGAGGAAATTAGCGAGTGTATTTGATTTTTGGCGACGGATGTTTGTGGGCGTGCAGCGTGTGTGCGCTTTGTTTAATCTTGTGCGATATGAACAATTAGTGATGGGGCGTTGGACGTGTGTCGGGGCATTTAATTCGGGGCACGCGGCGGCACCCATTCCCATGATAAGAAGGCGCTGATTAGTTGAACGGCTGTGTTGCGCCAAGCGACGGAACACTGATGTTCTTCGGACCGCGAGAGCATGGCATACGATGCCCGTGTCCGTCGTGAAGGCGCGCGCGCCCCCCCTCAACGCCTCGCAGAGCGCCCCGACGCTTCTCTCTTTCTCTCTGCCCGCCCCCTTCGTCGAACCATTTTAATCCATCTCTTTCACATCTTTTCCTCTCTTTCTCAAACGCACATTAATTTTGCAACGAAAACAGCACGAACAACCACCGTTCCTCTCCGTATTAATAACACACGTTGGCATATATTCCGAACCGCGAACCGGAGGACCATTGCTTGCAAATCGACCGACACCTGCCAAAACGAATTTTTCAATTTGCCGCTTGCCCCAACAAATGTACAACTATGCACAAACCGGTACTTTGAACCTACAATTTTAGACCCATCTTCATAAAAACACGTATTTCAATTATCAAAATCATTACATGAGAGGTACATTGGATCCAAGTTCGAACAACTTGAACAAAAAAAATCGAACAATCATAGTTTTAAATTGGTGTATCAAATTTTATATACTGTAATAAACAAGTTGCTGTTGCTATGGGCAATACAGCAACATTTGTTTATTAATTATTTTTGTAATACAATAGTTATCAATAATCTTAAATCATGCCGTTCTGATAGATTTAATCGATTTATTTCGTAAGAATTAGGATAATCTAAAAATAATGGTTTGAAGATATTTGTGAATTCCAAAATTTGCCAAATCCACATGTTTAGAAATTGATTTTACATTCGAAATTTTGGATCAATTAATCCTTCTCGCAGTGAGAAATCAATATCAATATTCAAAATGTATATAATCCAAGACGAAACATCTAAATTTTCTAATCATTTCGATTTAAAGCACATATATAAAAAAAATAAACTTAATTTTACAGCAAAATATATTTGAACTTTAACAAGATTCACTTTTTTCATTGTAATTGTGTTTGCATATTATTATATAAAGAAAATCTATGCTTTCTTGATTCAATGCAAACAATAACATTTTCATAGCCAACGAACTTTTGTACGAAGAAGCAAATTATTAGAGATTTCATTATTATTTTGAGCATAATTGCACATAAATTCATATCAGTATTATATTTATACACATAAAAATTATAATTAATAAAATTTAATAAAGTATAATTCCACTTTTCTGTGCAAAATACACTTTTATTTATACTTAAAACTTATATAAATTTCAATTCTGCTATTTGAAACTAAATACGTTGTAAGTTATTAAAAGTAGTGTATTTTTAATTAAGTAAATCGTCCACTTATTTAGTTTAATTATTTAGTAAAACATAGCTCAGTTTATAAATAAATAATGTATATACAAATACTAATTGGTTGCCGATTACAGCAACTTAATTTGACTAAAATACGAACTTATTTTCGAGTTGATTAACGATATTATTAACAATTAGCAATAATCTTGGTTGTTGCGTAATGCTATTTTTGGGATGTGTCTCGAACGCGTATTTCTGTGTTTTTGTTAAGTTCTCGTTAGCTTCGGTTGAGGAGATTTCCGTGGTCGAGTTGCATTTCTGTAACGGACACGCCTTGCCTCACTGTCTTTTGCATATCACTCGTTCATCCTCATTACCATCGAACCGAACCTCTCTGAACATCCATCCTTATTCCACTTAACGTGAATCCCTCTCATCGTCGTTCCTATCTTCTATGAAAACCGCATAATAATTATATCTAAAAATAACATATTCAATAGAAATTCTATTATTACGTTTTTTGACACTTTCATTCACATATTAAAACATTTTATTTAACCGCTTAGTGCGGATTCACTTTAGTCCGGTTAGAAAATTTCAAAACTATAAATATTAAAGTATTCTTTTTATATACATAAATAATATTTACTTAACAGAAACTTGTAAATATACACGTTAAATTATGTATAAGAACGACAGAACAAATATGTAGTGTAAATGTATGTATGTTTATACTTAAATAGTTTCGTTTTTGTTTCCGCGCGGCTGATGGATGAACCAAATTTGACACGCGGGGTGGATGAGACGCTGTCATGTGTCAGACGGATGACGGAAACGTCGCTTGTCTCCTCTGGTAATCCGAACCAGAGGAAGAGGTTTCCGTTTCCAACCGGTGCCTACCAAAATGGCGACAAAGAGAAGATGGAATCCCCCTGCACGAAACTAATTGTTTTAATTATCCAGTGGATGTCTGCGGCGACGGCGTTATAGGTCCATAACTCATGCGGCATACCTTCTACACATACAAAAAAATGAAAGAATGGAGGGCTTTGGAATACGTTTCTTTTTTTTGCTCTTTCAAGGCACCCTCGAAAAGCGACGCTCGATCCGCACCATTTCACCTCCTAATGATCTCCTCCTATTCTCCAATCTTACAACCAGACTAATTAAACTTTGCTTACAACCTCGTACTTTAACTAGTTTTTATTTGGTTACAAAATGTGCTTTTCTTCCATTAATCCAATTCATTTGTCACCAAAGAAAATCATCAAACCGAAAATGAACCAATCTCACATAGTGTTTCTTTAAGTTGTCACTTTTATTTCATCTTTTAATTAATCTAATTATGAGTGTAGAACACAAAATACCGACACAATTAACATATGATCAGTACAAACCGGGAACGCAGACTGTGGATATACTGCATGTATTTATAACTACTATAAGTTCTAAAGTAAATTAAAGCGTTTAATCAAGCAGGCCAAAAGCTGAAGTTGAAGCTAATATATGAACAGGAGTAGTAAGTAGTAAGTGTGCTATTTTTAATGGGATATTAAAAGGAGCAGAATGGTAGACGCCGTTCCATCCACCGACAAATCCACGGATAAAGTAATTAGAATTCATGCTTAATTTATTTTGAAATGTTTGCCATGCCTTTCCTGAGAGCGCGCGCTAAAAATACTACGGTACGACGCGTGGAAAACTCGAAAACGCGCCGCAGACGCGACAACTCGAATTTAGGTCCTCTAAATCGCATCATCGCATGGAAAAAAAACTATAAAAGTTTATATATTTTCCATTTTATAGTTATTAGTATTATACATAGAACTCAGCTAATCATAATCATGAACTAATGATGATCACGAGAAATTTTCTGAAAATAAATGCTCAAATCAATAAAATGTATCATCCAAAAAATGAAGTTATTCAGATTAATAGGTTTCGAAAATATTGATGAAGTGATGTCAGAAATGTATGAAGATGATGTTATTCCATTGGAAGATTTAGTTTGTTAGCAACAAAGACAAAGAATATGAAGACAAAATTAAAGAGTTTTTTGTCGACAAAAAAATGTTTACAAGCATAGATTTTGAAAATCACATTGAAATCGTTTCAAATCTGATATTTGAAAATGATTCTTATTCAGGAAAAGTATTATTATTATGCAACTAACTATTTGTTAATTGAGGTATGCCTGTACTAAAACTATGTGGAAATACATGAAATACATACAATTTTCTCCCGGCGCATTCACCAATTCCGTGTTATAATAATTTTGACAATAACTGAAAACTAATATTATATTTGAAGTGTAAAATAAAATAAGTATATTAACATTTTCCAAAGTATACATAAAAATTGCAGCATTGGAAGGAAATACTAAAGTGACTAGTTTTTAACCTGCTACTTACTACACTTAAATTTACTAGTATCTTTGTAATGACAATAAGTTATCTCTATTTATTCTAAATTTGCAATATTTTTTCATAAATACATATATAAATTCGAATACTTTTAATAAATATACATTTTTTTTAGGCTCCAAAAATTATCGTAAACACTAATGTTTATTTATTACCTAGGCATTTCTCATTTGGCAAACACTTATACCAGTGAAAGAGAAAGAAAAAACGATCATAATTTTGTGTACTATTTTTTTTAAGAATTTATATTAATTTTGTTTCATTATAATTTAGTTTTTTGAAATTTTCAAACCTTACTATAGAGAATCCGCACCGATAGAAACCGCACTATTCGAGGTATTGACTGTATAGAAATGTACTATTAATGTCGTATTGCCAAAAGCATTGAATTATATTTGTAATATAGGCAACTCAATGCACTAGAAACAAATATGGAGCATATATTTTGAATACTTGAACCACCAATGCGTGTTGCTGAGAGAATTGAGCAGCTTTCATCAGTCCGGATTTCAAACATTGAACGGAACCGATTAGTCCGGTTTTAAATATGTTACCGGAATTGATTACCCTGCCTATACATATTATTGATGTGTACTATTTTAAAACTTTTAACGCTAAAAGTCAATTAACCAAAGGAAGTGGATTTTTTTTATTTAATTAATGATAAATCAAAATAATAAAACAGATTACAACTAACACAAATAAGTAGTAATTATAGATAGCAAAAATTAAACTGTAGATTAAAATAATTTACAAGTGGCTGTCAATTTGTTGAAAAACGCCTTGTTCGCCGCAAATCAAACGACTTTTCATTTTCCAAACAGTCTGAAAATAAGCGCATTATTATTTGGTCGATAGCCAATAAAGATTCGTAAATAAATTAATAATTTAAAAAAAAACTTACATTGATATGAATTTTTAATTTGAAATTCTTTTCAGCGACAGATTCTATTTCCTTCGAGATGCCTTCTTGAAACGTTCCGATAACATTTATAAAATCGCACTTGCTGTCGGCGTAGTGCACAGAAATAGCTTTCCTGAAACCCTGCAAATGTCCATGTTTAAATAATATTAATGTTATAATATTTATTTATATACTTGTGTGAAATTTGGTCCAGATCCATGGAGCAAAAGCGGATGGAAAAATATAGTGTCGCCCTTTTCCATTGGAAACATTACCTTCGGAACATCATTGAAGCCAAACACGCCGTGGTATAACTTATTCTTAACAGACTAAAAGAAAAACATTAGTCAATAAATTTCGTATTGTTTTTTTGCTCTAATTATTTTTATTACTTCGGTGTAATCGTGTGAAAACAATGGACCCTTGTGCGATCCGGGTAAAACAAAGAGACACCCGTTCTTTTCAGTAACATCTTCCATTGCAGTCCACGAAGCAGCAATTTTATTGGCAGGTCTAAATGGAAAGTAGTGTAAATCCTGTAACAGTTTTCAACAAATTAAATAAATACTACATTGAATAATAATTATTATTATAACTTGATGCATCGGATGAGCTGACATTTCCTCGTGCACATCAGGAGGTTTATTGATCAACATCGAGTGGACTGCCGTCACATTCGGTCCAATTATCATCTTGATGACTTCGACAATCTTAGGATGCGCAGCGTAATGGTCGAAAAACTTTTCGTCGTACAATATTTCTTGAATCTGAAACACATATAAAAATTGTATATTCTTTAAAAAATGTTGTATTTTAGCAGTTTATTATTTTCTTGTTTTTTATAAATTTAAAACTACAATCCTTTGTTTCTGATTTTGTTTTTGTAGACCAACAACCTATACTTCCCATTTAACAGCATTTCTTTTGAAACGCAACTCTCTGATCGTGTCGTGTAACAGAATGAAGAAAACAAAGAAAGTTGTTTTATCTAATTATGACGCAGGCTCTAAAGTCCAAATTCGACATTCTCTATTATAAATGCGTACCTTATTGACTGTAAATTCCGATCTAGTTTCGCCATTTGGTCCTAATTTCTTCACTTTCATTACAGTTGGAACATGTACTTTTCCACTGCACACGTCCAGAAACCGCTGATGGCAAATGTCGATGTCCTTTTCAGGAATTAGCTTCCTAAACACTATATAGCCATTCTCCTCGTAGAAATTCCTTTGCTCTTCGGTGAATCCTTCGTTAAGGGTATACTTATAATTCCTACAATAATAATTAGTGTTATAAAAATTACTAAAATATATTAATCTTACTTGTTCGACATGTTTGTGTTTGAGTAAATGAAATGAAATAATTGCAACTGTAGTCAATAATCGAGAATAACCTACGACCTACAATGCATTATTTTATATGATAAACATTTTAAGTACGTATTACTCTTTATAACAGTGTCTGTTAAACTGTGTGAAAGATGTCAAACAAAATATTTTAAAATAAAGTTAAAATATTTAATCAAAGGGTTTATTATATTGGGCTTTATTTTTGCTGTTCGGCAAAATAAATTAGGCAAGTAAAGATGTGCAGTGAGGTAAAAAAAAGTTTAGCAGATACTGCTGTAGAACTACTACAGCATATTGAGTTGCCTATATTCCTATAACGAACTTATATAGTATAGAATTTATTCTATGTAGAGAATTGATCAGCAACAATGTCGCTCTACCGACATCAGTTCGGGCGCTGATTAGCTCCGAAAACGAAACAGTTTATACGTGTCTTTTAAAATTTATTAAGAGTTCAAAAGTAGCGCTATAGACCACCAAATACACGAACAGTCCCCTATACAGAAAAATCAAGTTGAACAAAGTGATCGATGTAAAACCAAGGTTCGTTGGTGCGGGCATCTTCAATAAGTATCTTCAATCTGCAGGCTTCATAGAGTTGGACTGTCTAACACCGATCTCTGCTCCTGTGGAGAGATAGGAACCGCCACCACCTCCTGTTTGGATGTCCAACAATGCAGCTTCTACAAGAACTCTACTGTCCACCATCTCTTCTATGAACATACAGTTGCCAACTTCCATAGACTCTCTTTTGGTGCAAAATCGTTCAGAAATTATTAAGGCTTTAGCCAATTTTGTATTCGCCACGGATACTTCCCTATAATATATCAGCCAATCATCCTATCCATCCACCTATCCTCAAAATCCAAGAGGGAAGAAGCAGGCGGAAGAAAAAAAAATCAACAATATCTGGCTGACGAAATTGTGCAAGACGCGCAAACCAAGTGAAGTGTTGAGAGGGAAAAAAAAGAAAGAAGAAAGAATCTATTTACTTATTTCTGCGCCAAATTGTTAGTTCACATAGTCCAGCTTCGATCAGTCCGGATTGTAAACAGTGCAGGATATTAACGGAACTGATTACGCGCACTTTGCGAGATATTCCTGTAATTAGTTCCTCGATTAGTCCGTTTTCAAACATATTGCAAGAATTACATATCGAAGAAATTGCTTTTAGGAAAATTTATTGCTATAAATAATTAAAGTCAATTTATAGAAGTATTGATTTTTTGCTGATATATGTTTTATTTAATTAATAACATAACAAAATTTTAAAAAAATAGTAATTATAGATGGTCAAAAACGAAGATTTGTGATAAAATATGTTCACAAGTGTTCTGTTCTGATTCCTCCACTCTATAATAGAGTGGAGGTGTGCACTTAGCTCACACCTCACAGTGTATGTAGCCAGTCAATGTCTAGTACAAACTAAAAGAGTATATAAACAAGCAAAAAATAAAAAATATAACAATAAAAAGATGAATAGACTATTAAAGACAATTACACATAATCACCCTGCTAATGTATAAATATACAGTAAATTTGTAAATAATAAAAAAAATAACAAAAAATAATTCAACATTTTTACAAACTCTTCACGTGCAGGGACCTATCAGCTCTTATCACAGTGTGGGAAGGCCTCGGATCGGTAAATAAAAAGTGTTAGAACAGATTAAAAAGGGGTAATATAATAAATATTCAAACAACACATCCAGATTTTTTGATAAAATTTAAGATCAGTCTATATATCTTGATATCCTTCATCCTTAACGTCTATTGATGTTGGTAAACTTTTTCCGTGATTAGTCCACTTATAAGCACTTTTGTAGCTGCACTGTTGTTTTCACATTCAAAAAAAATGTGATTAGTGGTGGATATCATCCCACAGTCACAGTGCGGTGAATCCACCAAATTCATCCTAAAAAGATGAGCTGCAGATCTGTTATGGCCCGTTCGTAATCTGCACAGAGTTGATATTTCAGATTTCTTGGTGATCTTTAACTCTTTAAACCATGGTATCATTCCCACTCTCGGATTGCCCTCGAAATAATATTTTCCCTTGTTCTCGGACCTGATATCATATAGGTACTGCCATTTGTCCCTTTCTTCCTTGTTAATTATTTCACTGATATCCGAGATCGGAACAAGTAGGTCAGTGATATTGGCCATATGACCTTCATTCGCCAACGCATCCGCCCTTTCGTTCCCAGGGATCCCAGCATGTCCCGGTATCCAGCACAGCGAGACCTCTGACCCAATACTTTCCAAGAGACTCAACCTGTCCTTGATTTGGAGAACAATATAATTTATTTTGGCTGAATATTGCGAGGATTGGATAGCGTCTAACGCACTTTTAGAGTCAGAGAAAATCACACTCTTACTCCATTCGTTTCTCTCAATTAGTTTTATTGCCCTGCAAATTGCATATAACTCGGCTGTGAATATCGAGGAAACCTATGGAATCCTTCCGCTCTCAGATAGGCCATCGCCATCAATATAAATCCCATAGGCAGAAGATTTGGGGTCATGTATCAATGAACCATCTGTGTAGATATGCACATGACCAGACCATACCACATTTATAAAAAAACAGGAAGCTTTGTATAAGCTGCTGCACTGAAACATTCACATTGCACTTGTTCATAAAATCTACCCTATTCCACT